GGCTCTGGAAAGAAACCCACACACACGGGTGCAGGAGCTGGGCATAAAGCCTCAGCCTTTCTCCGCGTCCACGAAACCAATCTGATGCAGCTCAGGGGGAGCAGCTGTGCACTGGCCTGGAGGCGCATGTCTTTGTCTCTGTGCCCCTGTGTCCGTGCGTCTGTCTTTCCATGTCTCCATGTGTTTGTGTGTTCGTGTGTCTGTGTATCTGTGTGTCTGTGTCTAGAGCATCTGGAAAAGGAGGGCTCAGGAAGCAGGGACTGCATTTCAGTGCCTCTTCCCTGGACAAATCTCCGGCACGCTGCTGCATCACTGTTCAGCTGCTCCCAGGATCACACGCACAAAGAGAGACACACACACAGAGACACACACACACTCACAGGGGCACCTGTACATCGAGGTGAATCCATGCAAGAATTTGGTCTCCCACCTGAATTCCTGTGGACCCTGCCTGAACAGAAGTGCGCACAAACCAGGAACACAGGCAAGGACACAATCAGCCATGGACGCTGCTGAGGAAACCTGGGAACAAGTGCAGCAGGGCTGGAGCCTTGTGGGGAAGGACAAGGAGTCAGGCAAGGCCCTGGCATGGATTATGTGCTCACATGTTGAACAGAGGGTCACATGTCCAATGAGTCATGACTAATTTCCTGGAGGCAATATTAACAGGACAGGGTTGGAAGCAGCAGCCCAGCAACGACACACGGGGAGGCAAAAACCGATAAGTATCAGGGTGAGCTGAGGAGGGAGGAAGGCAGGGTGTATATCTAAGTGTGTTGGAATATATCCATGTTGGGATTTGCTTTATGTGTTCACATATCTGGATGGGAGTGTTCACACTGATGTGCGTGCACGGACTTGGGTGCAGGAGCAGGAACAGGAATGAGTGTGTGTGTTTGCACATCAGTGGGGACATGGCAGAAGGAGATGTGTCTCTGCCTAAGGTCCCCTTCGGAAATGTGTGTACACACACCTCTTCATCCATGCAGAGCCAGGAGTTACTCTTTAGGTGTTTGCAAGCTCCAGATTGTGTTTGTGGTACTGTGAACTCGTGCATGTGCACTAGGAGTTTTTAACATTCTTCTTCTTCTTCTGAGGATGCTGCTTTATTCCCTGAAAGGCGTCAGGGAGGGTCAGGGATGTCATGGAAGTGAGGAAAAGCAATAGCAGTTAAACTGACGGCAAGAGGCACGGCATGTGTGTCGGCCTTTCCGTGTGATTCGCGGTGCCGGTGCGTGCGGGCTCGGGGCAGAGGAAGGAGCTGCGGAGCCCCGGGAGCCCGGCGGGCGGAGCGGCAGCGCCCCCTGCTGGCCCCGCCCGCGGCGGTTCGTGCCCGGCCGCAGCCCCGGCTCCTCTGCCCGTGGCCCCCAGCGCGCAGTAATACACGGCCGCGCCCCCGCGCCGGGGCCGGCCGAGCCACAGCGCGCATTCTTCTTCTTCTTCTGAGGATGCTGCTTTATTCCCTGAAAGGCGTCAGGGAGGGTCAGGGATGTCATGGAAGTGAGGAAAAGCAATAGCAGTTAAACTGACGGCAAGAGGCACGGCATGTGTGTCGGCCTTTCCGTGTGATTCGCGGTGCCGGTGCGTGCGGGCTCGGGGCAGAGGAAGGAGCTGCGGAGCCCCGGGAGCCCGGCGGGCGGAGCGGCAGCGCCCCCTGCTGGCCCCGCCCGCGGCGGTTCGTGCCCGGCCGCAGCCCCGGCTCCTCTGCCCGTGGCCCCCAGCGCGCAGTAATACACGGCCGCGCCCCCGCGCCGGGGCCGGCCGAGCCACAGCGCGCTCGAACGCCCGTCCTCCGACAC